CCATAATTTTCATATGTTTAGTCCGGTGTGAACTAATTTTAGAGTTTTCCGGATTTATTGGAGCATTTTTTCATACTTTTTTTTTTGTTCGACTTGTGAGATATGTTTATTACTCCAATGGAAGAAAACAAATGTGTAAAGATCTGTCCAACAATGGTCTTAAGTATTAGACCCAAAACAACCAGCGGCGGATCCAGAAATTTTTACGAGTCAGGGCAAAAAATAGTTGAAATTTTTTTAACCATATTACACAAAGTATTTATAGTAATAATTAAATAAATTGTTGAATCAATCGGGTCTTGATGGGTTCCCTATTCAATATGTCTTTGAATTGATGCTAAAAACTGAAATGGAGAATAAGGTTTGGGTATTTGATTTTACGTTTTAATTATTATTAATAAATATACAAAAAATATTATACAATCCCGTTTTCATAATTTTTTGTATAAATTATATGTAAACAAGTCATTTTGAAATAAAATTTATTAATTGAAAAAAAAAATCTAATTGTCATCATTTTAGGTTATGTCATTTTATGAAGAGTTCCTTATGGGTTATCTTCTTACATATAAATGTAGAGTTTTTTTATCCATGTTTATTAGAACTTTCAAATTTAAACCCTTGGCTAACTTAAATTGTAAATATTTTTAAAAATTAATAACATTTATATTTGTTATCAATTTTTATTTATTATAAATTAAATTAATCATATTTTGACGATCTATAGTTTGACATTAATATCTTATATATAATTAAAAAAAGTATATCAATCATCTCCCTATCAATAAAAAATTAAATATATATTAACTATGACTGAAAAACAATAAATTTATCAATGAAGTCTATTATACATTATAAATACTAAAAAAAATTTAACACAGTGCATTCAAATTTGACAGATGAGGTGTATCATTTTATATAAAAAGGTAATGTTATTTTGTAAGAATTATTTTAAATTTTAAAATTAAAACTTGTATTTATATTTTTACAAATATTAAATTAAATTTACAATTAACACATGTAATGATATGAAGTTAACACCGAAAATCCAGCCTAGGCAATTGCCTAGGCTGGCCCATATGCGGATCCTCCACAGAAAACAACCCTGACCTAGCGGCGAAACCACCAAGTTCATTAGTCCTAGTTGCAATCGGTATCTTAGAGCCGGTTCTTGGTCGAATGGCAATCAGTATTACACAACCGTGGTTTAAGCCTTAATCGTGGCTAGATCAAACAACACGTATTATCTAACCAAGTTGGAACAATCCAAAAGATGATGTCCAAATCGTGGTTGCGGAAATCTCACCTACTAATTGCACCCAACCACAACTCAGCTCCAAGACACGGCTGAGATAATCTCTTTTGGCTCTAGTCAGTAAACACCCCCTTTCATGAGGAGAAATACAAGGTCCAGTATTCATTTCACTTACAACTTTGTGTCTCTAAGTTGTTCCAAGACCCAATTTTCATCTTTTTATTTCTCCATCAATGTTGCACTTTTCCAGCTTATTCTTACTCGTGGATGCTATTGCAAAAATGAAAGCTTGTAAAAGGTTCAGTATGTTGATTTTTTTTCTTTGTTTAAAAAAAAAAAGAAAAAAGAAAACACCCCGAAGGGTGGGTGATTAAGGCCAAATCCCCAACCTGTATGTAGGGTAGGCAAACGCTAATTGGGTCGAAGAAATCACAACTCTACACATGTCCGAACAACACGCGAACGAAACACAAACAAACAACAACGAAAACAAAGTGAAAAAGAAAGGAGGAAAAGGAGAAAAACAACAACGAAAATGAAGAGTCTTAGCCTGGGCTGACAGGTGCCTAGGCGATCAGTCTGCGCCACAAAGTGGGCTGAAGCATACGAAAAAACAAACAAAAAGACTACCGAAATCTGAAAGAGGGGTAGCCATCCTGATCTACCCGCACAAGAGTGTGTAGGCGTAGAGGGGCATCATCCGGGTAAAAAATGCGCATCTGGAGAGTGGAAGCACCAAGGCTGCCCAGGAAGTCGGCATGTCGGTTCCCCTCGCGAAAAATGTTTGAGCTCCGGTAGCAAGCCGATGGATCTAATGCGCATGAGTGGGTGCTAAATCTGTCACGAGCCTGGTGGCCCAAGGTCCAGAGGGTGGCGACAGCGGCAGCATCCGGCTCAATCCAAATGTACATGTAGGTAGAGGCTGCAATCTAAAGATCGATCTGAAGCGCCTGAATCTCTGCATCGTAGCTCGTGGAGGCCTGAAGAGAGGCGTGGAAGACAGTAATGAAAGCTCCATTGTGATCCCTAATCAGACCTCCGCCTTTGGCAGCTTCAATGAATCGGTCGAAAGATCCGTCAGTGTTTAGCTCAACTCAAGGGGAATTGGGTCTCGGCCAAACAACGGGTCTAGGGCGTGGGTACTAGACAGACGGCATCGGATGCGGCGTGAGGCGATGGGACAGCATGCATCCTGTCCAGTCTCTAGGCGTGAGTCTGCCCAGAGATGTGAGGAGGGAGAGATGTCGATCATTCTGCAAAACAATGTGAGAGCACAAGAAAGTAATATCCCTATGCTTCACACTATTCCAATATTTATTCAACATGTTCTTCATTTTAGAATTACAATATCAAACAATCTTACTTAATATTTTTTTATAGATGACGACAAATCACATACACCATTTGGGAAGGGTGCGTTGATACCATTCTTGATTCATTCAAGAACTCATCTTTGGCGGACCATCGAGGAAAAATCTCCCACTTGGCGACAAGTTCGTTGTATTTAGTGGTGATTTTAGACAGATACTTCTCATTGTCCCTAAAGGCAGTCGAAATGACATAGTGAATGTGACGATCAATTTATCCAAGTTCTGGTAGGTTTGTACCGTTCTGAGACTGACTCAGAATATGAGGCTTCGAAGCCATGGTGGGGGTGATGAGTACGATGAGCTAAAGCTTTTCTCAGAGTGGCTTGTAAGCATTGGAGATGGAACACTCGGTGGATAGAACTATGGTTGTGTCGATATCGACATTCCCGATGATATTATCCTAAATTTCACAAGGGGACATTGTTGCTACTATTGATGAGAGTACCTACCCAATGTTCAAGAGTTCAGGTGACGACCTTAGCTATATAAAGAACAGAGTATCGATACTCACCCCCACGGTTGATGTGGATGAGTTCGTTAACGAGTATATGGGCTCATTGAAATCCTCCAAAGAAAGGACTTATTTGAGTTCGTACACCGCTTGCAAGTCAAATGTTGGATATGAGTCTCTTTAAGATCTTAATACTTCTGAATTTTTGAATGGGATTAAGTGCTCGGGACTTTCGAATAATAAATTGTACTTAAATGTCAGCACTACAGTGATATTGTTGAGGAACATTGATCATTCAATGGGGTTTTGCAATGTTACACGTTTGGTTATTACTAAGTTCAGCAGTCATATCCTCGAATGCAAAATTTTAACCAGTCCAAAACTAGTGATAAGGTTCTTAGTTCTAGGCTCACAATCATTCCTTCTTTTTTGATGGTACCATTCAAGGTTTAGCGCAGACAGTTTCCTGCCATGGTTTCCTATGCCATGATGATCCATAAGAGTCAAGGTCAGTCTCTATCACACGTCAGCTTAGAATCATAACAGTTGGAATATAATGATATGTGGTGATGAAGAATCTAACAATAGGAAAACTATGAATGTTATATACAATGAAGTTTTTAATAATATTTTAGAATTTATTTCCTAATTCATAATTTTTCATGAACTAATTTGTGATTTTTAATTTTTGTTTTTCTCTTTCTATTGTTTTCTCTTCTAATAATCCATCTTCTGTGTAATTGCACAAGTTGATTACTAGTTTATGTATAAATAATTAAAATTAATAATTCTAGAGTAAAATGTGGTGTAAATAGTTGGGGTTAAAATATGAATTTGATTTAACTCTATTAAACAACTGAAGATGATCTTAGTTATTTATGTACAGTGTACACCCAGATACATGAAGTAGTAAATTCCCGTTGATTATTGTGTTGCTTTTGACATATCACCGACATGCTTAGAAAACTATAATTTTCAAGTGATATGCATACTTTCGAACTGATTTGCTAATCTAAAAAGTAAAATAAATAAAAGTATGATAGTTATGCTTTCTTTTACATATCACATTTTCAATACACTTCCTTTTCACCCCTAGATTGCGCGAAAAAAGATCGCACAATGATCGTTTAATATGATCGCACAATGACCCCATTGTATGCATGACTACACAATGGTTGCACAATATGATCGTAAAATTACCATACTATATTATAATAAATGGGAGAAAACGGGTGCGGTCCCATTATGCTTATAAAGTAGGCCTAAATATTCTAATACGTCCCCTCATTTGTGAGCCCTTCATAAGAAGCCCAAGCCCATATACGGAGTCGAGTCCTCAAGCCCTACTAGAAACAGGCTGGGAAACGGGTACGCATCGCACGGTTCTACATAGAATCGGCTCTGATACCATATAAGAAACGAGGGAAAGCTGAGTGCGGTCCCACGCACGTGAAGCGCACCATAACAGAGAAAGCCCAGATGAAACCCAAGTTGAGTTTCATCCCAAAACTAATTGGCGGAAGGAGGAGTAACCCATTAAATTCATAAATTAGGCATATTTTCCCTATACAAGTTAATTGCACAATCAAATGATTGTACAATGATCATGCAACTAATCGCACAATGACTGTACAATGATCACGCAATTAATCGCATTTTGTGTTACAAAAATATTACTTTGTAATGGACAAGATGAAATACTCCGTGCGTTTATAATTTAGGGTGAAAATAGATATTTTCACTTGTGTATCTTCAAATATGGGATAATACATCTCAAATTTATCATCAATACCAGAGACCCCAAGTTCAAAGCAACTTACTTACATTAAGCACCTGAAAAAACTGTAATAATTTGTACATACACCACACTAAATCACAATATAAACAAGGAAAAAAGACAGCAAAAAATACACAAATATAATCCACAAAACAACTAAAAACAGAGAAGAAAAAAAACCAACATTTTCTTTATTTAAAATAAAAAACCATGAGAAGGATATAAAAAAAAAAAAATGAAAAAAGACATCATTACGATATGGAATGCCTCCTATCTTTGCTGGGCCTGGTCCTCCCCTTAATCCCCTGAGGCGTCAACCCGTCTGCCCGTATCAACCTCCCGAGCTTCTTTGACACTGAGCTTATGAACGACTTCCGAGGCAGGGGCGGCTTGTCTGCGGACCCCATGCCCGGGCTTCCCACGGCCGGCGAGCCTCCGTGCCTCTCCATATCCCTCAGCTTCATCTTCAGTTTAACAAGCTCGAGCTTGAGGTCTTGGTTCTCCCTCCTCAGGGCCAAGACCTCGTCTTCCACTGGGTGGACATCCACCGAGTAGGGACTCAGGACCGGCTTGTGGGCCCCAGGAGTGGCAAACGGCTCTGTCCCGTCCACGGCCTCTTGGAGGCGCTGCTGCTCGTAGTAGAGGACTTGCACGACGGTCTGGACGGGAAGGCGGTCGTTTTGGGCCGCGTGGGCGCAGGCCTCGCGCGAGAGCTTCTGGCAGTCCATAATGCTGCACACTTTCTTTCGCTCCATGTCGCTTAGGGCCGGATGGGCCTATGGATTTTGGGTATGACAAACATATTATGAGAAAATTTACGAGCTTTGAATCTCAGACATCATTTAGCTTTCACGATGGTAAGGAACAAAGTAGGAAAGAAGTGCACAAACTACCTTCAAGTAAATGTCGATGGCCCTATACATCCCGTCCTCCGTCATCCTCGACTGCTCGGGTATGACCTCAGCAAGGCCAATAAACTTGGACACCGATAAATTCCTATCCGAAGCAATCTCCGCAAGGTAACTCTCCATCAGCTTCGTCACCTTCTCCTTATCACTACCCGAGTGCAAAACACATAATTCTTCGTCCACATTGTTCACCTCCAAATCCGACTCTATAAAGTTCACCATGATTCGCTGCACGGTATCAACATCAAACAACGTGTCCCCAGCAAAAGAATAAGAAGGGATCAAAAGGTCGTCCAACACCGCTTGACTGAGCTGAGTCGACATCCGCTTCTCGAGGTCGAGCCTGCACGCAACCGTCGTTTCTAAGTATATCGACGCTCTCAGAAGCATCGACAGGAAGCTGACCGACATCGCGTTCCGACGCTCTCTCGGGAGAAGGCCGACGATCGTCTCTAAAACGACCCGTTTCTCGTGCTCTCGTCTCGGCTCGATTTTTTTCCGGCCCTTTCCAAATACGTCCCTGAGCGAGTTTTGCGCGTAAAGCATGAGAATCGGGCCGAGGGCGTACTGCTCGAAACCCCTCGCTAACATCGCGATCAGAACCCTCTGGAAAATGTCGACCCGCAAAACGGTCAGGTCTTCGGCCCACCAATTAACGACGGGCTTCGAATCTTTTTGTCCGGAAAACTTGCTAGTGTCCTTGCAGGCTATTAATGCGATGGTGTCGATGCAACGGCAGACGAGCTTCACCTTCTCGGCTATTGGGAAGAGGTTTTCGGACGAGTGGAGAATCGAGACGGCTCCCGACAGGCTCGTGAGGGCGACCTCGTTTATGTAAGACTCGGCTCGTGAGACTAAGTTTTTGACCGAGTAGTCCTCGGTCATCTCGAGATACTCGGCTGCGCACCTTAGTGCAGCTATGTTGTTAGTGGCTATCTCGAAGTTTATGCCGTAGCAGAATTTGGCGGCTAGCTCGAACGAGTCGGGCCCACCGGGAAAGTTTGGGAGATCGAGTACGGCGAGTTCGGGGTTTGATGATTGGGAGACTAATTTTCTGATGTGTCCACATTTTGAGACTAATGGAAACTGCCAAAAGAATTAATTGAACATTTCGTTTGGATTATAGGTAGGATGATATTATCAAATATATATACCTTGTGTAGAGAAAAGGAAGTTCCTCCGACATTAACAGTTACATCGCTGGGGATTTCCTGGGAAAATATCCTGTTTAATAGAAGTGCGGCCATTGAAAAATAACTCAATTGAAATCATCACACTGTTTTTTTAATAAGTAAAAATAAAAAAAGGAACGAAAACAAAAGAAAGATGTACGTACCATTCACTGGTGCGCTTCATGACAGTAGAAAGAAGCTCCTTTTTCTTGTTAGACATGTTTGGAGCATCTGGTGAGGATTTTTGTTCCTGCTTAAGTTCCATCCTGCAATATATCTGATTATTATTACTATATATATAATTATTACTATTTAAAGGGCCCTGACTTCATTTATTGCACCTAATAAAATTGGAATTTGGGAAAGGAAAAATAGAAGAAAAGATTAAAAATTCTGAAAGGCCCATAGCAATTTCTTATCAAACAGTAATCTCTACAAGGAGCAAGATGCTCATATCTTTACCCCCGACATTTAATCTGTACTGCAAACAAAGGACAGATAATGCAATTAGTGTGCAATCTCTATAATGGTTTTTCTTTTTATTTGTTTGTATTATTGCGTGTATTCTTGGCCATTAGCCTAGAAAATCCATTATCATCATGATCGCCTCGAGGGTAAATTTGGGAATATAAAGTGGGAAAATGGATTTGGTTTAGAGTGTGTGGTTGGCGACATAACATGAAGATGGTGGTGCCCAATTTCTCCATGTGAGATAGATAGACATGTTTGGTAGATAGCGAATTGAAGATAAATTAGCGGATTTGACTTAATTGAGAGGTTTGACCGGTTAAATTTGCTATTGAGCTTGTTTGGTAAATAACTTATTTTATAAGCCCCAAAACTCTAATTTAGAAAAAACTCATTAGAGCAGCGTTTTGGAGATAGAATATTCACAAAAAATTATTTACTTGAAACTTTTTAATTTGTCTTATTTATTTTACAATCTACATTAGTTTATGGTGTTAATAAATAATAATTGTCATCCATATGATTAATTTATCTATAAAAATGTAAAATTCATAACTTCTTCATCAAGTGTTAGTAAATTTAAAAAAAAGTTTTAATATATTTAAAAATTACCAACTAATGAATATTAAATATTTTAATATATTATTATTAAAAGAATACACCCTAAATAATAAAATGTTCTTATTGGTCATTTTGCAATGTCAAACAGTTATAAATTTTCGGCTATTTACCAAACACTTATTTAAAAACCGCTAATGCAATTCGCTGGTCAAATCAGCTAGCTAATACAATCCGCTATCCACTATCCGCTGATAAATTCGTTATCCGCTATCCGTTGATCGCCAAACAAGGCCAATGTCCACAAAAAATGCCAATTTATGTCCTTTATTTCTTCTTTTTTTCTTTTTCTTTTTCTTTTGGGGTTTTATTTTCAGCAAGATCAACTTTTCAATACAAATACCATTGAGGAACTTCACAAACGAAATACCTTTTTCTTCCAACATAAATTTTGGTATGATGTAGTCGAACTAGTCTGGTGGATTAGTTATACTTTTAACCAAAAATAATACTAGTATTCGTCATGTGTCATGCACAGAGACAAATAAAAACTTATATTATATGTATATATACAATATTTGAAATTTTAAATTAAATAATAGATGTATTACATTTTAAAATTTTTTACTATATACAAATGTACAATATAAATATAAATTATTTAGCTTGCGTGTGAATCTTAATATTGATGACATAAATCTTAATGGACAATGTAATTTTATAATTTAGAGGGACCATACAATCAATTAGTTAGAAAAGTATTTGTTGATCAAATTTCAAATTTGGCCTCAACTGTATTATAATTATTTTTATTATTGTTATAGTAATTACTCATATAATTTTAAGGAGTTTAATTGTGAGACACATGTCAATTAACTAATATTAGAGAAAAATTTCTTAATAAGACGAAAAATAATATTTATTGTAGAATAAGTATTTTAAAGAAAAAAAAATTGCAATACAATTTTTTATAAGTATGTAACTTTCACATACTATTTAATATAGATTTATAATTAGTTAATATTAGTAGTAATTATTACCTAATAAATTAGTTTAAATTATTATTACACTTTAATGTAACTGTTCCACATTAATTGAAAAAAGAGCGGGAAACCTACAAAGGTTTTATTTATTGCTCTGTCAGCAATTATGTAGACTAGTAATCATCCCGTGCATTTGCACGGAGGATTATAATTAGAAAAGATAACAATATAAAAAAAACGAAAATACATAACCTAAATTTAATTCATGAAAAAAAAAATGAATTAAGAAAATGATTCTAAATATTATTAAACGCTTCTTTATATACAATATTCATGGTTTTCATATCGTCGGTATCACCATCACCACATATCATTATCTTCAAACCTTCCGATTCGTGACTGTAGAAAGAGCAACATACAACAGTCCATGACTGAAAACAGGATTCAACAAGACTAAGCTGACGTGTGAGAGAGACTAGTCTTGACTCTTTTTGATAGTCATAGCATAGGAGACCATGATAGAAAACTGACTCCACAGATTACCAAAAAAAAGGGTTAAAAAACCCTCGACTTAAATAATCCGAACACTTCATGATTCAAGCTCATTTCTCTCTCGTTATCGGCGGATCGCGCGTTTTTTCTCTCTATAAAAATTTTTCAAGATCTCATTTTTCTTATCAATATTTGCCATAATCATGCTTTTTTCTTTGTTTTTCCAGCGAGATATTCCAATCAAATTCTAAAATTTTTTGAAAAATTAAAAATTTCAAACAAAACAGAGATATAACATCAAAATTATTCTGATTTTACAATTCCATTTTACTAAATCATAGTTGTTGTAAATATTTTTCCGGAGTAGAATCGAAAGATTCGAACACCGGGTCGTGTCTCTCGAAGAAGCTTAGCCGGATTATTATGCACGTTTATTCAACCACACAAAAGAAAATAAAAATTCCTAAACATTCTAATTCCGATGATTTGGTTTGATTATTAACTACAAAGAAAAACTTCAAATAAAGTAAATATAAATAGCAAGCAACGACGAAGAACAAGTAGGATTTAAGGAGCTAGGGAGTCGGGGATATCCGTTTTGGTTCGAAAATGTAATTGTCAAGCAAGAGATTGTTCGGTTAAGTGATTTGGCTAATCGACACGTTCAAGCACTCATTCTCAATAACTTTTCGTAACAAGAGAACAAACTCAAAAGACAAATTAACAATTCATTTAACTTCTAGGCAATAAGGTTACGAACAAGCCTAGTTCATACGAGCCTATTTCGACCGACTCCTCCCTTTCGTTTCTAAGAGCCGATTAAAGTAGACTAGAAAGTGTTCAATCAACTAGTCCGTATAGAATAACCAACATCAAGAGAGAATAAATCGAACTCAATTGCAAACTATTGGTGATTGAAGTGTCACCCTTCAACAATTCTAAATACTCGAGCCCGACAATTAAGAACCCTAGAAAAAATATCAACTCGTATGAAATTGAACAATCCTGAGCCCGACAATCACAAACGATATCAAAACATCAATCCCCTAACCCTAGCATAAGGATTTAGCTACTCATAATCGAATAATCAACAACAGCAATCACAACCCAAGAATTCATAATTAACGATTAAATTAAAAGAGATTCTTACGATTGATAATTCCCAAGGTTGAATTCGATAAACAAGATTAATCCCAAAAGCAATGAAGAAATCCGAGTGCAAATTCATGTTCAATGATGAAAAATATGAAGGAAACGATGAAAAACAAGTGAAAGGGACGAGAAGTAGGGTTTTTCGTTCGTGAGAATGAGAGATGTTCTTTTCTGTCAAGCCCGATCCGTATTTATAATCGGCCTGGCTCCACGGCGTGGTGGTCTTGCAGCGGCGCGGAGGAACCTCCCATCACGGCGCGGCACAGCCCTCGCGGCGCGGCAGATGACGACAACACGGCGCGGCACTTCTCGCGGGCGTGGCAGGGTGAATTGGCTGAACGCTCTGTCCACCTCGTGGCAGCATCAGGGCGCGGCGGCCTTCTTCTTCACGACGCGGAGCTTCAGCGCGGCACGGCGGCCTTCTTGCAGAGCTTCAGCGCGGCGCGGGCCCGAGGGTGCTGGGAGCTGCAGTCAATGTCGTGGTAGCTTCCCTGCACGGCACTGGCGCAAGGGTCAGACTGGCGCGGCGCGGCACGGGCGCGGGGTCTGGGCAGCTGCTTTCCGTGCACGTCTTCACTTTTCAGGCTTGTTTATACTCATTTGGACTCGGAATTCGATTCCCTTTTTTTTCTGCTTGTCTCCAATGAAACCCTCTATCTATTATGCTTGCACGGCCAATTTTCGCCAAAAATTCTATCCTTCCGAAGCTTTCGACCTGCGCACCAGAAACAAAGAAGAACCGGGAAAATACCGAAAAAAACACAAGAAAGACTAAAATAAAGCGAACCACGAAATAAACTACATAACGACCTAAAAACCAATTAAAACACCTAAAATGGGGGAAAAAGAGAGACAAAAAGATAACGAAAACGCAACAAAAAATGGGACAAACAATAGTAAAATAGTCCAAATCGGTCGATTACATAACAGATCTATCAAGATCTGAAATTTTTTATTTTGATTTAAGGTTGGCGTCCCTATTTTGCTAAAACGCTTCAATGAATCATAAGAAAATTGTTCAATCGGACGATTATATTACGGATCTATCAAGATCTGTAATCTTTGTTAAGAATTTATGATTTTTTATTTTGTTGCAAAACCGTTTCAGTTAATTTCAGAAGTCGATTTGATATTTTTTGTTTTGATTTTAAGTTGTTGTCCCTATTTTGCTAACATACTTCGCGAATCAATAGAAAATGGTTTAATAGGGCGATTATAGTAGGGATCTATCAAGATTTGTAATGTTTGTTGAGATAACATGTTTTTTTAACCATGTTTTCAGTTGATTTCAGAAGTAGATTAGATATAAAATCTTATTTTAGTGTTTGTTTTGTCGTTTTCTTTAAAAAAATTTGAAATATATACACAATTTAATTTTTTTGGTCAAAACATATATTTGTTTTTGCAAAAAAAAAAAAGAACGGATGTTGTTATATTTAAAGATGTTCTTATGGTTTTCTGAAAAATATACATGTTGTTTATATTGGTATTCTTACTAGCTATATTTCAATTGTTTGTTGTAGTTGTTCTCTCTATTGTTTTATACCTCGCTTCATGTCTTTAGGGCACGATAGAATATAAAAGTAAAAAATATATATACATCTAGAGACCAACTAGAATTAGTCAAATAGTCATCCAACTGAATATAGTAAGAGGACTACACAAGTGTAGCCTATATCCTGCTAAACTAACTCACACACAATACAATAAACTATACAACTCCTACCAGTGGAGAATAAGAACTTCCAAATGAAGAATAAGCATGAAACTAAGCAACAAGAAAACTAGAAAAAAAAAAGACTAACCTCTCCCGACTGGGAGAAAAATACACCAACCCTAAAATAAACACTAAAAGCAACACTGAAAATACTAGAAACTAGAATAAAGTCATTCCCTCAGTTGGCAAGCCTCTCTAAGCTAAACATGACGGCGACACCTGTGGCCGACCACGCAGATAAAGTCACGGTCCTAGTTGCAGATCCAGAAACTGCCAAACAATGCCTAACTATAGATCTGAAACTCAAGGACCCTACCCTAGAGGAAGACCCCAAACCCGCAATTAGAGAGGTCCACAACTCAAACCACCCCCAACAGCACCGACAACCCGGGCCCAGAATACAAGCATGGACCTCGACCCGACCCCACTAGCCATCCCTTCAGCCCAACACGGGGGAGAAGAGACCACCAAACCTCCACCCCGACCACCACCAAGTGGGCGATCGGAGTCGTAGCCAGCAACTTCATAACTACCGGAAGCCCACCATTGCCAAGACCTGGGGAACCATTAGACCTCCACCCTGCCATGGCAATCAGGTTGACGATGAGACCCACACGGGGGACGACCCTCTAAACTCCACCGGCAGAAGACTTGGTCGCGGGCGACGATTCTTTAGGTACCAAGCCGCACGGCCCAGTGACATTCGCCGCCATGATGGTCGGGGGGCGCTAGGAAAGCTTACTTAGGGTTTAGATGGATATGAGCGAGAAATGGCTGTTTATTTTTTTTAGGGGGCGATTGTTTATGTTTTGTACAGTAAAAAAACCAATCAAAACTCAATTTTATATCAACTTTAACCCAACTTCACTATCTCCTATATTATTAATATAATTAAATAATATCAACTAATTATTTTTACACATCACATCAACTTTAATTCACTATTCATCCACTCACATAATTTAACTAATCATCATTTCCAATGATTTTTCTCCTACTTTACATCAAATCAATTTTAATTGTTTTATTTAAATATTATTTTATTATATCCATTAACAACTAACTATACCACATTTTTTCAAAATTAATTATAATTAAAAAACAAACCAAATAAAAACTAGTTGAATCCATAAACAATCACACCCTTAATACCTCATAATTCATCCCTTTCACACTGTAGTCATAAGCACTTTTCACAAAGAAAAAAATAGAAAATACTACAATCTCGTTACGGAACCATTCTGTCGGAATTTATAACCGTTATATCATCAAGTAATCATCAATGATAGTTGATCTAACGGTTACAAATCCCAAGAGAATAAGCCTTACCAAAAAAAATATCAAAGTTTTGTCCCCTTATCCTTCTGCACACCAAGATGAACCCTGCAAAAACCTCTTCAATGCCGTCTCAATTCCTTTCTAGTTTCTACCCCTTACTAACCTAAAACCTCCCCACCTCAAATTCTCATCCCAAAAACCACACCCGTTAATTAGAAAAATTAAAAATCCGAACTTTTTTCCCCTTCACCCATTGCATTTCTGTTTGTTTTTTATCACAGTTCTTGATTCCAAATGGAGCTATACACACCGTTCGCGCCGCGCTTCAAACCGGACCTGTCCTTCCCCCCCTTCCCCGTCAAAACCCACCTCAATAAAACCCCCCAAATCCCCCCAAACCTCCGCGTGTTTGCAGTCGCCGCCGACCAGAAAGAACTCCCGGAGAACAGCCCCCTGAAGCTCCTGAAAGAGCTGGCCGAGCGCAGAAAGGTAGTCTCCCCAAAGCGAGAAGCGCCCCCAAAGAGATTCATCCTCAAACCCCCGCTGGACGACTCGAAACTCGCCAATAGGTTCCTGAACAGCCCTCAGTTGTCCCTTAAATCCTTCCCCTTGCTGAGTTCCTGCCTGCCGTCATCCCGCCTGAACAACGCCGACCAGACATGGATTGACGAGTACCTGCTCGAAGCCAAACAGGCCTTAGGTTACCCCCTCGAACCTTCGGATAGCTATGGGGACGATAATCCGGCCAAGCAGTTTGATACCCTGCTGTATTTAGCCTTTCAGCATCCCCAGTGTGAGAGGACAAAGGCTAGGCACGTGAGGTCTGGACACTCGAGACTGTTCTTTTTAGGGCAGTATGTGCTGGAAATGGCGCTGTGTGAGTTTTTTCTGCAAAGGTACCCAAGGGAGTCTCCGGGGCCAATGAGGGAGAGGGTTTATGCTTTAATTGGGAAGAGGTTCCTTCCGCAGTGGATTAAGGCTGCTGGCTTGCAGAATCTGATCTTTCAGTATGATGACATGGATAGGCTGAGAAGGACGGATCGGGAGCCTCCGGTGAAGTAAGTTCTTTTGGTTCTTTATTTTGGTGTTTTGTTATTGGGAATTTGATATGGTTTATGTGGTTGTGGTTGTTTGTTGTTTCTTGATTTCTTGAGAATTTTGGTGTGAAATGCATGTTGAGTGAATGAGGTGTGACAAACTGTTATCTATCTAAGATTAGGGTGTAGAATGGAGCATTGTGATTTTTGAATTTCAGGTTTTGTAGGACTAACAACATAGAATAATTTCAACTTTGGGAATTCCCTGCCGACTTGTTAATTAAACAAGTTAAAAGTGTATTACTTTGATGGTTGCTTTGCCTGTTTGTGGATTAGTGTTCAGGGGAAAACGCTTCTTTAATTAATTTAGTGGAATGTTGGAATAATGCTTTCGTGTTTGCATGGCTGAATGTATGTGGAAAAGCTGCTCAACTCTGGAATACACAGCACTATGATTTTTACGCATGAAATCTAATTGTAGAACAGTTCATTCCGAGAAATCATGTAAGAAACATAGCATACAACGGTGGTGCATATATTCTTGGTTATATAATCTCAAGTATGATATGTAAGTCCTAAGTAGATGTGGTTCCTGTTATGTACTTATGTCTAGTATATAAGCATTTTTCATATCGATAGTGCCGTTTGAGTGAGTTTAGGAGAGTGGGATGGATTCACTATTGACTTTATCCATCCGGAAACGTACATTCATGACAGGCATATGAAAGAACAAAACAACCTCTATATCTCTGTAGGTCTATCTGGCTTTGCTACCAAAAAATAAGTAGCACAGTCCCTTTTATGGCCATAATATTGTGAATATGTTCGTGTTGTAACCTACTCTATGATCTACCAATTAGTTTTCGTGAGGTTTTTTATTCATTGAGTTCACTTCATATAGTTTCAACGTTTTCTTCTGAACCTGAGAGCATAGTTAGTCATGACTAGCATGGCATCTTGGATCAATATATTAATAGTTTTATCTGATGGGTATCTTTGTTATATTACTCAAGTATAAGTATTTATAAGTACAAATATTATATGGCAGATCTGTCTTCTGGGCCTTGTTTGGGGCGATATATTTGTGCTTTGGGATGCCAGAAGTGTATCGTGTTCTTTTTGAAGTATTTGGAATGGATCCAGAAGCTGAAGATGCCCAGCCTAAACTAAGGAGACAGCTTGAGGATGTTGACTATGTTTCTGTTGAGTTCGATAACCAGAAACTGAACTGGCAGGATGTTGCGTCTTACAAGGCAATCACTAAATACTAGTCTTAGTTCTATATTATATTCTCTTGCGTATATACGAATTTGGAACATTATTGTGAAATTCCTTCAAGAAATATATCTGTTTTTAGTGTCCTTTGAAAAAAAGCCATCCTTTAATAATGTTGACCAAAGTCTCCTCCAAGGTGAAAATAACTATTTCTCTTAGATTTGAAATGGTCATTTTTTTTTAGGTAAAGAATACACCTGTATTCATAAGCACAGCAAACATGTGTGTGAACTCTGCATCAAGATTCTAAATTTCTCTCTTCATGCTGCATAAATTTTTTTTTTTTTTAAAAAAAATATCTATCAATCCTCAAACTTTCAACCTTTTATTTGGAATTAAATTTGGGAATGTGCTGTCTCTATACCAGGTACCAGTTTACGTGTCTATGTCAGCTATGGCGGAATATGAAATTTATTACTCAAATTTTTTTGGTCATATATTGTTTAGTACTTCATTGAAGCATTTATTAGGATGCAAATTAATCGTACTCGAGAAGGCCAGCATTAAATTCATATTTGAACTGCCATTTGATTTGACAGCCCCCAGAAGACGCCTTATTCGCTCATCCGAGGCTTTTCAGAGCATGCGTGCCACCTGGCATGCATAGATTTCGTGGAAGCATTTGGGATTATGACTGTCGGCCTCAAGTCATGAAAAAGCTCGGGTACCCCTTGTCCATGGTGGACAGGAGTCCTGATATAACAGAAGCTAGGAATATTGAGCTAGGACTTGGATTGCAGGTGTATATTCTAAATCTTGCTCTAACATTACCTGGATTTATTATGATAATTTTCAGTTTAATGTTCTCTGATTGTTTGAATGGGTTTTAAACTTTGAACTGGATTTTCATTATTTTGTTCTCTCACATTATTTTCATTGTTTAATTTTTGAACTGGATTACAGCTCTGTTTCTTGCACCCATCAATGCACAAGTTTGAACATCCCCGTTTTTGCTACGAACGTCTGGAATACGTTGGTCAAAAGATACAGGTAATATATGATTTTAACGATCTCATATATGCATGTCAAAATTTTTCAACTCAATAAAAATTTCTTTATTTTTTTCCCCACAGGACCTTGTAATGGCCGAGAGGCTGCTCATGAAGCATCTAGATGCTCCCGGAAGATGGCTACAGGAGAAACACGATCGCCTTCTTATGAACAAATTCTGTGGAAGGTATTTAAGGGCGAAATATCTTCATAGGTTCATCATGTATAGTAATGAGGTGCAAGACGCATATGAGCAAAACAGGAGGCTAAGAAATCCAGCCACCAGTTCAGTTCAACAGGCCATTCATGGGCTTGCGTATGTCGTTTATGGGAAGCGAGACGTGAGGCGGCTAATGTTTGAGGTTTTTGACTTTGAGCAGATTCAGCCAAAGGCTGTATGAGAACTGTAAAAGTTACCTTGGACGAGTTGTGTAGTACATTTTTTTTACTTAAACAGGATAAATTTACTGATGGTGAGGATCAACAGAAGCATGTGTACAGATCATTACAGGGTTACACAGTATTTCTTTATTATACATTCGGATGTATAGGTATTCAATTCACGTGTGTTAAATGCAAAAATCAGAGAACATAATGGAGAACATTGCAATATGGATGAACAATTTTTCTATTTTTTTCTTTTTCATTTTTTTCATTACTGATATATACAAGGACATTACACTTGAACATAAATTGTTCTACATTTGGCGTGATTGCAACTTTTGGGACATTGAAAATCTATTAACAAGATCAGAAAAGTGAGAAAACTCGAAACAAATAATTCTGAAATTAGTCCAAATCCAAATCCAACCACCAGAGTCACTTTGTGAGCCATTGATGCAACTCACCACAGCTTTGAGAAAGCTCGGGATGAAGTCCAGAATGCCACCGAGGCAGCACTTGAAAGCACAGGGTTTTGATATAATCTGCAAAATAAAAACAGAATCACAAACCGTGATATTCTTTTTAATACAAGGCTGATTCAATGTGAAAGTAGAATGTGGCTCACACAAGATGTTCAAATTTTCATTTAAGATTTGCTCACCCAATGGCAGTAGCACCCCAGGATGCCATGTTGTAAACTACTTTGGTTCCATCCCATGCCTTTCGAAGCTTGCCTTTTTTCTTTTTGGTGGAGAATGTCTTGCTTAGTGCTGGTAAAAAAGAATAAAAAAAAAAAACACATCAAAATTTAGAAGACCAGAAAGAATGAATAAGTTGGAACAGCTAGAATTGAAGAGGGAATAAAAAGAAAAGACGACTTGGAATAAAATAAAAGGTTGAACAATGAACCTTCTTGAAGCTGGTTTGGGGTAAGATCCTGCAAAAGCAAACATATACATCAAAAACAGGTCCTGGTACATATTTGAAACTTTTTCAAGAAATGATAATCTTAGATTATTCGATTCAAGGTGTCAGTTGTAAGATCAATAACATTCCACACCTTAGCTTGTTCAAGAGACAACAGATATGCAGCCATGAAGGATGCTATACCCTCCTTTACATCTTCTTGTCGAACTAAAATGTAGTCATGTGAATCTAAATCCACATTAGTGGGTCCCCAGGTGTCATTTTCATTTACCATGTCCCAGGAATCACTTTCCCCTTCTGCATCACAGGCAACACAATTGTTGATTGCTTTAGTCACACCAAATATGATATGTTTACTAATTATTATTTCCTTAATATCACAAAAATCGGTCATATTAGTTTCTCTCATTAACAAGGTATATTTGAGTGCATCAACTGTCAGTAAAACTTTTGAGAAACCCATAAACTCATCTTTATGTAGGAGGTGAAAATATCGAGATAGGGTAAAACTGTACCTGCCACGTTTTCTGGAGGCGACACCTGTGCATTTTCTAACATCATGGTGGAATGAGCATGTTCAGACCTCAATTTCAAGAGACCACAAACCTGCAGTGGACAAAATAAGTAAGACTAATAAAGTTTCAGAGATCTATTTAACTTTTCTCACAATGGAAAGGGAATACCAGAATTAAAAACAACAAAAATGTTGGAGATTGAAAGGACAAATGCTTTCTTCTATCAGTACACAAAACAAAGTGAACCTGTCCATAATATTAGCAATATTTTGGCCCACCCATTGAATCCAACACAAACCTAGAGAGAATCATATATATCAATTCCAAAAAGTGAGGAAAAAACACCTCAACTGGATCAGCGTGGCTATTCAAAGGGGCAGAGGTTTTGATGGTGTCTTGGGGAGCAACAACTTCATTATCATCATCATCATCATCATCATCATCATCATCATAGCCAAGCTGTTGGAGGGCGAGCTGGCATTGCTCAAGAACAGCCTCAAGGGCTTTCCTGTTCACACGAACCTTATCCTTCAGGATGCACGTCTGCCCAGCTACCTCCATTTGTAACAGACTCTAAATCTACAAATTAATGTTTGGACATAACAGGTTAAAATTCACCTGCTAAAAGCAGAAAACATGCATTGTGACATTCTGTCATATTCTTTAGATAAAATCATACAAATTAACAAATTCAAAAAACATATTTGGTTAGTTACATGATGACACAAAAAAAAGTGTGCAACTTGTGCACAATTACTTGCACCATGAATTGGGGACACTAGGTACTTTAGGGTTACACTTTCAACCTTCAAGAAAGATGCTTGATACTCGAGACAAATCACTTAAATTGACAAAAAAAAAAAAAATAAAAAAAAAAAAATAAAAAAAAAAATCAATCTTCAACATACTTGCTGCTAGTATAGAAGTTTTTGCTAAACACAACGTTGGTGAGAAACAAAGGAAGAATAACCATGAGATAAATATGGTCAAATTCAATACATCAGAGAGGAGATCCGCTAGGTCAAAATATTCACCCCAAACGAGATTAAAGAGTCTGAAACAACCATGGCTCAATCAATAACTGAACCCAAACAGAACAAACAAACTGATCACATAAGGGTTCGAGGTCGAATATGATCAATTTCCAAAATTTCGTACGATTTTTCACGTTTCCACCCAAACGCAACACTAGTATTTCAGCCATTACACAAAATTTCTCTGAATCACAATTGGGGATAATCAATTGAATCAAAACCAGGTCGAAGAACTAAAATAAATTAAGAAAGAAGGAAAAGGCACGATCTTGATGAACAATTTTTTGTTTTTTTTTTTCTTTGGGACAAATTTTCACAAAAATCATGAAAATCCAAAAACGAATACCTGCAAAAAGTATGACCATCCAATGGAATTATAATCGAAAAGATCAATCAGTTCGTAGGGGAGGCGCCTTTAGATAGAAATCTAAAACCTTGTGCAAATCGCTACAGAACAGATGCAAGTTATTATGATAATAGATACGGCATTATACATTGTTTGCACGCAACTAATTATGGGTCCTCGAATAACACTGGACTTCATTAATGACCTAACCATTTACATTGATACTTTTTTATAAATATGCGTATTTTTATTAAAATATTTTATTATAAATAAAACAAAAGTAGGATATTTAAAAATAAAATAAGATATTTTATTCATATAATATGATCGTACTATGTTATCGATTGTAGATAAAAGTAAAGAAGAAGAGTGATCGAAGAACAAAGAGAGATAGAGAAAACTTTAATTTAGAAATCGGAAAAATTGATTTGTATTGTAAACCTTAATGCAGAAGCTATTTATACTTCTAACACTAAAATTAAATGTGTTAACTATAAAACACGATTTTTGTCTTCTATAGTTTTTACATAAAAATCCTTATAACATTAATATATACCACAAGTTAAGCATGTATATTGTACATGTTTAGCTTGGAAATTAGTCTTTTAAGGGCTGGAAATGGAAGTGGCTTGGTCAGGAGGTCTATTGATTGTTCACTTATGGAGATGTGTTGCAATTTTATGATGATTCTGAAAACTTTTTCTCTAATGACGTGACAATCAATTTCTATATGTTTGGTTTTTCAGGATGCACAGGATTATGAACAATGCAAATGGCTTATTTATTATCTGAAAATATGAAAAAAGCTTGTGTATGAGATATATTCAAATTAGAAAACATATACAATATCCATTGAGCTTCACAAGTAGTAGAGGCTAAAACCCTATATTTTGCTCAGTTGATCTACTAATTGTGTTTTGTTTGTTAGACTTCCATTAAATTAGTCAATTTCCCAGTCACTCTTTGAGAATGAATTAATATGTAAAGGAGAAGACCTAGGAAAGAAAATACTTTGTCCTGGAGTTGCTTTAACATACCTTAATACCTTATGTGTTGTTGCCAAGTGATGTGAAATGGGTTGAGCCATAAATTGGCTCAAACATTGTATGTAGTAAGTCAAATCAAGTCTAATAATGTTAAAGTATAAGAACCTACCCGCTAGTCTCTTATATACAAATGCATCAACCAAAGTGGAATCAAATGTAGCTATAGATAGTTTAGAGGTGTTGTTCATTAGTGTTTAAGCATGTTTACAACCTAAATAACATGTATCAGGGAGTATGTCAAGGGCATATTTTTTTTTACATAAATGTATTCCTTTTTCTAGCTACACTAATTCTTGAATATACTTTAATTGTCTTAAATATTTTATTGTAAAGCATAATCAAGATGAGCTTTTATGGTTGTATTTCAGATAATGAATTGCCTTTTAATATAATATCATCAACATAAACCGATAAAGAAAGAAATGATGAATCACTAGATTTTGTAAACAAAGAACAATCGCCTGAAGATTGAGTGAAACCATATTGGAGCAGACATGTAGTCAATTTGTTAAACCATTGTCATGAAGCTTGTTTCAATCCATATAAATTTTTAATCAATTTACAAACTCTAGTATTAGTTGGTTCATAATATCTAAGGGGTGGGGTCATATGAACTTCTCCATCAAGATCACCATGTAAAAAAGCATTATTAACATCAAACTGATGAATGTGACAATGTGCAATGACTTGTCTAACAATTGTAATTCTAGCAACAGGCGAAAAAGTATCAAAGTAATCAATACCTTCTATTTTAGTGTAACCCTTAACTACTAATCTAACTTTATATCTTTCAATATTATCATTTGATTTGTACTTAATTTTGTAAACTCATTTACAACCTATACAATGTTTTCCTTTAAGTAGATCTGTAAATATCCAGATGTTGGTTTTCTCTAATGCATTTAATTCTTTGGACATTGCTTCTTGCCAAAGTGGGTTAGTGACAGCTTGCTTATAGGTTCTAGGTTCTGTATGTTTAGAAATTGATGAAGTAAAACATGCATGTTCAATAGATAAATTTTGTCGAAAAAAATCAGATATGGGATAAGGTTGTCCTGGAACATGTTTTCCAGAAAAAGAAATAAATGAAGATGTTTGATTGAATGAGATGAGTGAGGTTGATTTGCAAAAGAATTTTTGTAAATACTGAGATACGAAGGAGAATGTCTATGTCTTGTTGATCTTCTTAAAGGTATAAGAGAGTTAGAGGTTGTTTGGCTGGCATGTATGTTGGTTGTAGGAGAGGTTGAGTTTGAAGCAGGGGTAAAGTTGAGGATGGGCTTTGTGGTATATTGGTTACATGAGGGTTATTTGGATATATATGATCATAAAAGGATTCCGATGGTTATGGAAATAAAGTATGAAATGATGATTTTGATAGAAATTTGAAGGGAATAACATCTTCAGAAAATATAACATTTCTGGAAATAATTTTTTTTCTTAGTATCTAAGTTGTAAAGCTTATAACCTTTACAACCAAAGGGATGGCCAAGAAAAATATACTTTGAAGATCTATGATCAAATTTAGGCATGTTGTACTGTAATGTGGATGCATAACATATTGATCCTATTACCCTGAGATTATCTAAAAATGGTGGATCGTTATAAAGTTTTTCAAAAGGTGAAACATTTTGTAAAGGTTTTGAAGGAATCCTATTAATTATATGTGCAGTTGTTAGACTGCAATCAATACAGAAAGGCAAGTGAGAATGAAACATGATTGCCCTAGCAACTTGGAGAAGATGTTGCCATTTTGTTGTGAAGTTTCTACACAACTAGTCTCATGTCTTATGCCATTGGTTTTGTAAAAATCATGTAAAAGGAACTCATTACCATTGTCTGACCAAATCATTTTTAATGCTTTGCTAAATTGATTATGTACTATGTTTTGAAAGTGAGTACTGCAGATTTATTAGATTTAGAACAAATAGGATAAATCCATGTGATTCTAGAAAAATTATCAACAATAGTAACAAAATATTTGTGTCCATCACAAGATGAGATAGAGAAAGGTCCCCAAAGATCACAATGTATTAAATCAAAAGAAGATGATTCAATAGACATGCTTTGTGTAAAAGGCAGCTTTTTCTGTCTAGAAAAAAAGGGAAACATCACAAGGTAAATGTGCATCAAATTTACAATATGTAGTGCATATAGGTAATGTAGCAAGTTTATGAAAGGATAAGATCCTAATCTATAACGCCATATGTCAATTTTCATGACATACATCAGAAGAAACAGCAGATACATGTACTTATACAAATGTAGGAACATAAGAATTAAAAGAAACATGTATCATTAAATTTACATCATGTATAAAATTAATGGAAAAATGATAAAGCCCAGATTTGACCTCAGCAAAACCAATCATTTTGTCGTTCAGGTCCTATATCACACAGAAAGAACAAATAAATTTAACCATGCATTTGTTTGAAGAAGTTAGTTTAGAAATTAAAATTAGGTTAAAGAAAAACTTTAAAACAAAGAGAACATTGAGGATCACAAGATTAGGTCCCAGATTAATCTGTCCCACGTGGCTAGCCTCAGTGTAATCTCTATTAGGTAAGTTTATTTTTTTATATAAAGTGGGGTAGGGGTTTTAAAAACAAGGATAAACCATAGACCATATGATATGTTGCACATGTGTCTAAAATCGATGTGTTTTGTTAAAAAATGTTTGGGAAAGACAAATGAAAGAGTTTTTCTTACGAGTGAGATTGTCAGAGAGATCAATAGAGCGAGCAGTAGCAGCCATAAGATTTGGAATAGATCTTATACCCTTTTTCTTCTCAAACAACTTTTTAAAATCTAAGAAATCATGAAATATCAGTCATAGAATTAGCAGCAGGAGTAGGATTGCCATTTGAGGAAACAAAATTGGCTTTAGAAGAAAGCTTATAGGATGAATTTTAGGTCCTTGAAGTCCTATCAAAATAGCAGGGTATTCTATCACTTGATAACACCTATATGTAGGATGATTGTAGCCACAATGGTCACATTTATATTTCTTTTTAAGTTGAGTGGGTTTTTGGGATGGATTTTGATAAAACTTGTAAGGAGGCTTCATGGCTTTGGTAATGGTAAGCATAGCAAGAGATTCAATAAATTTCAAAGGATTTTGTAATGTTTTTTGGC